GGGGTATGAGACCATCAGGTCGATCAGAGGCCTAAGGGATCATCCAGGGAGACGCGCGTCATCCGCCGTTACGACCCAGCCAAGTTCAGCCTCCGCACGCTCTCAAAGCGCCTGGTAGATAGACAACACCTTGCCTGCAGTGCATATGTGTACAGCGGGGTGGCCTACCACGAGTCTCGCAGGCACCGAGCTCCCGCAATGTGCTGAATAAATATGAGAAAAAAAAGGACGTACTTTCTGGACGATCCCTAAACAACGACTTGCCCAGACACCGAAGTCTACGCGTGGCACGAACCCTTAGGTCCAGCCGATGAAACCTTCACCTGCACGACGAAGAACGCGCGAGGGCTGCTCCCCGCCGGTATCCTGACCCAGGCCCGTCAGGGATATGACACCATCAGGCCGAACCGAGACCTCAAACAGCGACTCGCCCAGGAACCGAAGTCTTCGCGGAGCATGGACCTCTACGTCCAGCAGGTGAAAATGAAACCGCCACCTGAACGAGGAAAAGGCGCCGCAGCGGGGCGTGCGGGCTGCTCCACGCCGGCATCCTGTTCGCTAAGCACAGCCGGCGCAGGCGCGGCAATAGGGCTGCCGTGGCTGGGATGTGGTTATCCTCGCCATGCGTAGCTTCTCAGCGTGTCGTCCGGGCCGGGCTGTGGCAGGGATAAGCAAGTAGTGAGCCCCGTGCACCGCCCTTGTTCGACGCCATTTAGGGGCTGGGACGAGGAGACGTGCTGCTGCTGGTGGTTGCACACCTGGGCGCACTGCTTGACCTCGGCGTGGACAAGGAGTGCGCCGAGCTGACCAGCAGTACAGCATCAGCGTGCGCAGGCCCGGCACTGTAGGTGTTGCAGTGCCTGGGGCAATGGAAGAAGCAGTCTCCACGTCGCGGCCGCACGGGTCGCTCGTTCTCTGCACTGCACTACCACCACGGACTTGCTCTCGGACTCTAGTGACGACGAATACGACCTAAAGGTCGGCGCGAGCCTGATCAACGCCTTGGTCTCTGAACTGTGGCCAGTATTCGCGACTACCGCGGTACGCATTCCTCTGCCTGGCTGTGGTCGATGCCCTGGCAGGCGAGAAGCGCGAGGAGCTGCTCGGACTGCACAGCAAGTACTACATCATGCTGAATTATAGCATCAACCGCGAGACGGCGCCGGTACCCGACGGCGGGCTATCCCTCGGTTGCGCAGGCCTGCAGCTGGGCGTGCTCGTGGGCGTCCTCGTCGTGACCAATGCGCAGGGCGACGCGGCGGTGCACACGTCGATGCTGAGCTTCATCTCCGGTCCCAAGGGTTCCTCGGGCGCGCAGGCCTGCAGCTGGGCGTGCTCGTGGGCGTCCTCGTCGTGACCAATGCGCAGGGCGGCGCGGCGGCGCCCACGCCGATGACGTACACGCCAAAGTCCGGTGCTAGACCGCCACATTCAACGTTGACATGAGCCAAGAACCCCGTCGTCGTGCTGGTCGACGACATAATGTAGCTTGGCGGCGGCCCGGGAGCCCGCCAGGCCTGGCCGGTCGACGACCATGTCCTTCGGCTGTCAGCAAATCTAGTCGCTGTCGCCACTCCTCGCCACCCGCTGGGCCCCGTACTCGTGCGCGCCAGCTACGCCGGTCGAGGACCTGGCCGTCAAGGAGCAGGCCGACGTGGCCCGCATCGTGCGCCTCGCCATCATAGTCTGCGCTCTGCTGCAGGCGCGGATTAAGGTCCGGCTGACAGGGGGGATGCACTGTCGGTTGCCTACATACAGGGTTTTTGTGGCGCAAATTGCCTTTC